CCCACCTCCCACCTTCCCACCTCCCGCTTCCCACCCACCTCAAACCCACCTTCCCACCGAAGGTGGGAGGTGGGTGGGAGGTGGGAAGGTGCGAGGGTGGGAAGTGGGAGGTGGGAAGGTGGGAAAGTAGGAAGTGAATGGGAGGGCTACGGTACGGGCAAGTTCGATTCGATCGATTCGATCGTCGATCCGATTCGATGCCGGTGTTTGCGGTTGGTTGGTTGGGCATGAACGACTGAAAAGGACAATGGAACCTGCTACTGCGCAGGATTGGCTAGCAAAGGTCCACGTTCCGGGTGCAAACCTCCATTCCCTAGCCACCAGTAAGCTGTGGGTGGAGGCTTGAGGGTCATTTTCGTCCCCACTTGGGGTTCCCACATGGATACCTCCAAGAAGAACAGATCTCCACTTCCGAGCTCTGGACAAAGATTAGAACTTGGAGAAAGTCTCATGCTGTTGTCAAAGGCTTTTTGAAGGTGGGGCCCTCTAATCACCGAGTACCTGAGGTTGGCCATGAGCTCTATGGCCATGGATGCCACGAAGCCAGCGGCAGCTTCAGAGCTCCTGTTTCCCGGCTCATGGCTCATGTCTTGCAATGCTGAAGCAGAACGAGGGCTTGGAGCCCCCCTTGAAAGTTGTCCTGGCAAATGCGTGCTAACAACTGTCTGTGAAGGAATGTCAGCTTCAGCCAGCCAACCTGCGTCGCTCTGCCATGCACCAAGCAGCGCGCATCGCAGCAGGTGCATTGGAGCAACATGCTAAGACAGACATGAGCGTGTGGTAGAGTGCGTGGAGCCATGGAGCTGGGAGGCCTTGGCGGCCATGGCACTTCCCTATGCCCACATTCCAGAGCCGCGTGCTCGACTTGCGATAGAAGGTTGGGCTTGGATGATGGCTCTACCCTGATGTGTTCTATGCGCCACCAGATCTTAGATGCAAAGCTAGCTGTGGGGCTGCCAGACCCGACGAGGCGCAGCTCCGCCGAAGTTGCTTTGCATCGAGCCCGCGGTTGATGACAGCCTGGACTGTGACGAATGCGCAGCACCCACGCACGCGGGCTCTGCAGCCGTGGTCCGGCACACAGTTATTTTGTGCCATCTTTTGGTCGTCGATCTGGGCGTGTTCTTCCTTCATCTTGCTTCATTTGAAAGATGTGGCCAATGGAGGATGACATTCAGCCGTCCTCATGGATCTCAGCTTGGGACAGCATCAAGGATGGCTGCGCGCCAATTCTGAGAAAAACATTCATTCCTGTGCATGGAGGATTCTGACTGCGAGTTCTCCTCTGCCCTCTTCGTGTCTCCAATAGATGTGCAAGATACGCAGAACGAGGACTCCAGCATGAGCCAGCCCGCTCAAGCGGTCTGCTCCAGCCACTGCTACCCAGCACGCGCAGACATGCGAGAAGCAAGTGTTCTGAGATATTTCAGCATGTTGACTTAGCGCAGTTGGGCTTGTAGAAGCCTGGCCCCCGTCCAAGCACTGAATCCAGCGACGTTGCAGGATTTCGACAAAGGATCTGAGCCAGATGCTGAAGCTGTGGAGGCGCAGTGGACAAAAGCAGACGAGATGCAACAAAGTACTAGTATCAGATCAGCCATCTTTGAGGAAATTAGAGTTGTGCCCGCACATCTATCAATCAAACACGTCCCAGTGGCCTTGGAGTCCCAGGAAGCGCCTACAAAACTTCTCAGAGCCCGCGCTCGCCCTGTCAAGCCTTCGTCTCCACCTCCAAAGGTCTGGAGGTGCGGCCCCTCAGGGTCCTACTTCTTGAAGTGTCATCAAGTGAGAGAAGCCTCCAGCTTCATACATAGCCCAAGGATCACCTGACAATAAAGATAATGATGATAATACCCATATATCTTGCTTGTTGTGCGTCTTTGGTGACCCGGAGGGTGGGGTCGCAACAGCAAAGCCAGGGGGTGGGGGTCGGACTAGGTAGAGTATTGTAGGTCGTTGTACTAGTCGTACAAGTAGAGGGACATCTATTGATCTATCAAAATCGGGATACTATGAGGCTGAGATACTGTTATGTCTCCGTGCATTGTTTCCGGTGGAATTTGTTTGTAGGTTTTCGTGCTCCGAACTTGTTACGAAGAAGAAGTAGTACTCCGGAGTTTTTCTGGCCCGGCGGGAAGATATTATTGTCACTCCCTGTATGAGTGGTGGGTTAGCAGATCGGCCAAGACGTGTTGGCAGAAGACGGTATAACCATTCAATAATCTCCATATATCCCGCATATACCCCTATATATTCCCTATATATCCCCTACATAACCCCATATCCCTATATATTCCCGTGATATCCCCTATATAACCCCACATACCCCTATATGTTCCCTATATATCCGCTATATAACCCCTATACCCCTATATGTTTTCTACATATCCCTCTTGCGCATCCTCGACATCCCATGCTGCAGGCCTCAATGCAGATCTGTGCCTCTCGTGGTACGCGCGACTGACATGCTGCAGGAGACTGGTTCTTTCGAAGCTTCTTAAAGTCTTAAAGTGAGGAATGTATGGACGGGGTATACAGGATTATACAAGGGATGATAGGTACCACAAGTGACCTACATGCCCCGTATGCCTTGCTCGTAAAATTTCACTGGCAGGCTCCCTGTGACGATGATGAGGAGGAGGAGCTCGACAGACAAGATCCCAAGCGACAGCGGGATCACAGCTTGAATCGACCAGGATGTGCTGTCATTGAAGTCCAGAGGGAGATCCACTCCGAGAGGAGCGAGGACAACAAGAGGCAAAGGCGAAGACCAAGAAGTTTGTCAACAACTTCCGCCAAGCCACCTCTGCTGCCACCCTCTGCCAAAGAGCTTCCCCCGGTCAAGAGCTTCTCCATTGGTAGAGATGCTCCATCGAAGTCCCGACTTGTTAGTAGACACCGCGCTGCAATCGCAGCTGCAGCCGCGCTATCACTGGATGCCGAAGCTCCAAAAAGGACATTCCCAGAAGCTGAGGCCTTGCCAGTGCCATCACTGGGCGGAGAGGTCCAAAAGCATGGCGCCATCTCCTTACACAAAGCACGACCCTACACAAGGCATCGTGCAGCTATTCGTGATGCGCGGGCACTCTGCCTGAATGTTGAATCAGACATTGACAGGCTAGCAGCACCACGATTAGTGAGAGTTCAGTCGGTCCCGAATGAAGCAGCGGCATCAGAGGCCACCAAGGCCCCCAAGAGGCCTCCGCGGGCAACGAGCGAGACCCGACAGCGAGCGGTGTCTTCATCATGGATGCGAGCTCAATTAGACGCTGGTGTCAGGTCATCCATGCCAATGCATGATGGCCCAAAGTGATAGGCGCATAAAAAGATTCTGCCATTCAAAAGGGCGAGCGACATCGTTTTAGCCTTCTGAGTCTCCAAGCTGAGACACACCAGGAGTGATGCTGCAAATGACATTTGTCTTAGTGCCCTGTACAGACGACGGCATGCTGGCACGTAAGCTGCCTCCATGAGCACTGTTGTGAACACTCATCATGGACTCCAGCTGCAATCCAGAAACTTGACGAGTCCAAAGAAGAAAATCCAGACGTATGGTTATTGATTAAGCATGGCGCAGAGGTTGGCTGGGATGATCTACGCCAAAGATAAGGACCCCAACATCCCAAGATGACAATGAAACAGACCATTCTTCAATTCCTTGGTCTTTGTTTTGGGAAACGAAATCAACGGGACTTATCACACCGACAGATGTTTGTATAGATTTAGACACTCATCAAATCGATTTTGATTCATTTTCGTATCGATGAAGATTCGTTGTAGTTTTTAAATATGTCTCAATATTACGGCGCGGCCACTTGTGGCCATTTCGACCGCGCGCGGCCTAGCCTTTCCGGTTCACCTCTAAAATGCCTCCTACGGGCTCCCTCGGGGCTCTAAAATCTCGGAGATTTTAGAGCCCTTCAGAAAAAGCTAGAGGCTCTAAAATCTCCGAGATTTTTGGCGCGGGCGGCACGACCAAAAATCTCGGAGATTTTTGATCGCGCGGCCCTTCCCCCCGGAGTGGTTTTTCGCATGATTTATATTTCTATATATTTCTCTTTTGCTGCGTGAGTGGCTGCTCGGCGGGCGGAACGTGCAGACCCGGGATAGCCGCGTTCGTCTACGTTTCCCCGATCCGCCGAGCAGCAATTAGCCCAAGAGAGATAATTGAAGCGCAAATTCCGGGCTGGACACTTTGGAGAATATTTCTTTCGAGATTTCGGATCATTTATTTCTCTTTGGCTGTTTGCTTTCCCCTCTCTTTGGTTGTATGCGAGGACGGTTGGCAGAACGTGGAGTTCCGAGACGAAGAAGATAAATTGCCGCACAATGGTTACTCGAAGAGAGGGAAAAAAATATAAGGATCGAACCGGAGATTTTGGGTCGTACGACCAAAAATCTACTGAGATTTCGAATTAAATTTTTCTTTTTGCTTGTTTGCGTAGCGGCTCTGCGGGTTATATAGATCTAAGGCGGAATTAAAATCTTGTAGAATCTATAGTCTAGCGGTAAACTCCTACGACTAATAAGAATATCATTTGCTATATTAGATTCTCATAGAGCGACCTCATGATATTATATCGTAGGATAAGAAGCTATATTATTATGAAATTTCATGAAATATGAAAGGAATAGAGCACTTGGCTCTGAATTTTGAGGAAATAGAGCCTCGTCACGATTCGGATTTATATATAGATACGATTAGCACGAAAGGTAGAAATAGACCGTATTAGATTATTTAGGAAAATCTTCGTATCTGTTGTTTAGAAGATACGTAGGGAAAAGAAAATAAGGCGATTTCGTATGTTATCGTAGAAGAAGAAAGGACGCACGACATCAGGTCTCCAAATCACGCATTAAAGCCCGCCCCCCGCCCGCTGAACGTCCAGGGACCCAGCATCCCAAATACAGAAACGGAGATAATATACAAATAATTTCTCAATGAGATCTCCGCCCAAAGAACTTCCTAAAGCTAATTGGTCATCCANNNNACCTGCGTTGAGGGGCAGCCTGGCGCAAGCAGACACTAACCCAGGGAGAGAATTCTCCATGAGGAGAATCAATCAAAATTGAATCCCAGAAACAAAGAATGGAAATTTCCTTGAGAACACGCTCGTCTATAGATGAGGCAATGATTGATATAGCGCT